GTGGCTAAGAATGGATCTCTCTCATCCACTGTTCTGTTAAGACATTCAGCTAGATGTCTGGTTGCAAATGGAGCTAAAAAAGCCAATTGCTCAGCAGTGGGGCATTCTCAAGCTGTTTTCTGGGTGCCCTTCTGTGTACACTTACCCAATAGAAAGCAGATCTCAAAGCATTCTTGGAAATATCAATGTTTAAAAATAAATAAATAAAAAAGAATTTGAATCTCTATTAGCAACCATCAAGGAGACCTATGAATGTGAGTTTCCCCTGGGAGACAAGAGAGTGCAACAGGTCATTTTAAAGGTTATATATTAATATTGTACATTTGAAATAATGTGCATTAATAGTGTTGCCATTAAAAGAGAGTGAGTATTGGTCATGTACTCTTATGAGCTGGAGTTTGTCATAAGGAACATGTATATTATGGCTGCCCTATGCCCCACTTCTGAATTTCCAGACATTTGTGGAAATCTCCCTTCATATTATGGTGGTTAGAAATAAGACCTTACAGCAGATTGGCAACATCAGATTCTCCATCTGTGAACAAATGGATCACAAAAGTGTGGGATTTTCTGGCTGTGGCAAGATGACAAACTGTAAGGTGATCTCATTTAACCTGTTATTAAACCATTTCAGAATCTGCCGAAAGAGAAAAAAAAGACCAAACAAACCCAAGAGAATGGCTAACTTTTCATCTAACTTTTTCATTCATTTATCTTGAACTCTCTTATTATTTGGAAGATGAAGACACCAGGATGTCTTTTAAGTAATTGCTGTAATAACCAGTGTCTCAGCTTGCGCATTCTTATTGTCATTTTTTCTACTATTATATATTTACTGAGGTGTATGCATTGAGAGCCACAAAAAAGAAAAAAGTTTAAAGCTCAAAAAATAAAGAAGCCCTCCTCCTGAGGTCTCATGGCTTATTATTAAGATTATGTGTCTTCCTTCATATTGCTACATTAGCCATGAATACACTGTAGGATGGGGGAAAGAAAGACACATGATGAGGGGAAATGACCTTATCAGTAAATTGTTTATGGTCTTCCTCATGCCCCATCCAACTTCCCTCTCATTTGTTTGCAGGTTTTCTTTTCTTACACTGTAGAATGCAGTGAAAAAGATCCCACATTTGTTGTTACCTATTTCTATACTCTGGAAGTCTTTTGATTGTGGTGGAAGTGGGCAGTCTGGTCTCTTTATACTCGCCTTTGCCAATAGTTCCTCTGCTTCCTAGTAGACAGAGGGATAAGTTGTAGTGTGAGAAGTCCAAGATAGGGTGGAAGGAGACCAGAATGTAATGGTAAGTAGAGGGAAGGTTAAAAGCTGCCATATGAATAGTTATTCTCCTATATCTAAAAATGTCTTGCTTTTTATAAAAGGACATTTCACAGCTCATTAGTGCTCATAATGGCCCAGGGTCTCTGAATATTTTGGTGAAATTTAACATTTCCAGCAAATTGTTTTCAATAAAATACATAAGGAATTTTATAGTGCTGATGTGCACATGATCAATATGCAATCTGATTGGGTGAGGACGATTCCAAACCCATCTAGTAATCTTGTAGTGCAGGGACACATGTCAGGAGCAGACAGCCTCATCAGTCAGATTATTATATCCGTTAGCATATTTCTAAATTACAATTTTTTCTTCTGTGATTTTTGACAAATTTTATTATTTGGGGAAGGGGAGAGGGAAAATAAAGGCGAGAAAAGGGCAAGATCTTCAGATCGTATCTTCCCCTTCACTTAGAATCTGCTGTTCTTCAGCTTTTCTGAGGCTGTTTAAGCACAGAGCTATGTGAGTTTGAAAAGAACAACTTATATCTCTGCAACCAATAAGTGGGGGGGGGGGTGGCTGCTGATGAAAGGGGAGTTCCTTTAAATTAATTCTTCAGGTTGCTGTCCTTAAAGATCTTCCCTCATTAGATACTTTCTGCTGGTTGCTGGCACTTTGCAGACTGTGTGAACCCAGGCTCCAAGCTGACCACATGTCCTAATGGTAGCATTTTCCTTTTCAAAGACGCAGTAACATGTTTACAAATCCTCTGTTGTGTGTAAGGAATTGGTTAGAATCCTCCTAAAGGGACATTACTCTTTCACATGGTCAGAGAGGTGCCAAGGGCTGCATCTTTCACTTCTCTTTTTGGTAGGCATATATTTAAGCAACTTCCCTTTAGGATTGCTTCAGCACCTGAGAAGTAGCAAAGTACTGTATTCCAAATCTGTGAGGATCTGAATGAGTTGAAAGTAAGTAATAGTTGATGCACTGCTGATTTGGGGCAAAAATGAATAGTGCAATCCGAGATTGTGTAGTGTTCCACAGAGAGCCAGAGAAAAGAACCTTAATTGATCGGGCACAAATGCCAGATGAGACTGAAATAGACTAGCTCTGAAGGACACAAACTACAGCAGAAACATGTTCAACTGGACCCAAAGTAGGAGGTGGCTCTTGTAGAAATGGAAAGCCCTCAAAACAAGGAGACCTTACTAAGATTCATGACCCTGTTAACCTATCTAAGTGAATTCCTGCCTAATTTGTTACAGTTAAGAGCCTATTCACAATGCTGCTTGAGGCCAGTATAGAATGGTATTAAGATAATTGACAAGCACAAATGAGCAATGCAAAATGATCCAATCTTAGAACCATTTGAGAGAGTAATTCTAGATGTATGATCAACAGAAAAAACTTAGGTACCTCCAAGCATAAAATATTATTGTGGCTATCAAGACAAAATTGCTTTCCATGCATTAAAATAGCTGTTTCTTTTAAAAATACCATTAAAATCTAGAAAAGCAATAAATAGAAGAGAGCATTTCTCTGAGTGTGTAGTGGAGTAGCATTAGTTTCAAATGCACCTGCTCCCGTCGTGAGCTCTGAATTCATTAGAAGACCACTTCCACTAAGAACAAGTTTTGACAGTCATTTCAGTGGTTGCTAATTCTGTTATTGCAGCTGAAATTTTTCATCAGCTGCTTGTATGTTAAGACAGGTTTCACTGTGCATTGATGGTGGGATTTTCAAAGGGGCCTCAGGACTACGTTCACAAAAAGGACTTATATAAAGGTAATATCATTTAGTGGAGCAACTTCTGTTGATAAAAGAGACAAGCTTTTGAGCTTCTTCAGGACTATGTAGCTTGAAAGCTTGTCTCCTTCACCAACAGGTTCAATAAAAGATTTTATCTCACCCACCTTCTATCTCTAATATCCTGGGACCAACGTGGCTACCACAACACTGCAAACAAAAAGGGAGTTAGGGCATTCACTTGGGAAGGGGAAGACAGGTTCAAGTTCCTGCTCTGAAGCAAACAGAGTAGGAACTAAAGCCTGCAGCTCCTACATCCTGGGTAAGTGCTCTAATCACTGGGGTACGTGAGTGGAAGTGGCAGCACCACTCAGTCTCTGTTTTGTGTGGGACCCGATCCTGTAGGCATGCTCAAAGACAGCTTCAGACCATGCCTACCATGTCAGGCTCCAAAAGTGAAACAGGTGAGCAAACATCTAATTCGTGAATCCCACCAAGGCTCAGGTGTGAGCTAGGCACTGAATGTCTAGGCTTACATAGCTGTGCACATGCCCACTGGCAGAAACTTAGGCACCTAGAAACTTTAGGCACCTATAGGATTAGGTTACAGCTGTGTGGTGGTTTGTGAATGCCAGTGGCATCTAAATGTTGGACTTAAAGACCTTCAGTGGCAGTTAGGCACCAATGTTCCTCTTGTGAATCTAGCGCTATGTGACTTAGGAGCATGAATCCCATTGAAAGTCAATGGGAATGATGCTCCTAGGTCACTTACGTAGTCTTGAAAATCCCAACCTAAAAAAATACAGTATAAAATTCATATGTAAAGTACAAATATTAAATAGCTAGCCTTATAAACTGCAGGCATGTGCTTCCTTAAAAATTCTCACTCTTTTTGTTTGAGTAATAACCATTACATAAACTAAACAGCACTCCAGAGTAATCTTTCTTTCATCAATATACATATTTCTTTCGTGTGTCACTCAGCTGTGCCTTGATCTCTCAACACATTCAGTGGGTGCTCATTAATACTATGCCGTCAATCATGTGGAAATGCTTTCTAAAAGAGTATCGGTAATATTGATCAGCAACTTTCAAGTGAACATCATCATACTGTATTTTCCTATGAGAGATTTTTAATTATACACAATAGACTGGAGCTGCTCCAAGAAAGCCAGTTCATCCTTTGTGTGAGCTCTCGGATATTTCCATGCTGAGATGCTTTTAACTCAGGAAAGTAATATATGCTTCTCCATTTAATGATTTTCCTACTGATATGATAGAAGGTACTTCACTTATACCATCAAATACAAACCATGCTTTTATAGAAAAGGTAGATTGAATATGAAAGAGCCTGATTTACCCAGCCGTTGTTGGCCAGTGAATGAGAGCTGGTTGCAATTCACTTGCAGGGCTCAGCAGAGATTGTAAAGAATGAGTTCACAGTTAAAACAGTTTGTGATGAGCAAAAGAGCTGTGAACGTGAATTCAGCTTTCTGTTTGCTCCAGTTTCACCTGTTGTTGGTTGTTATACAAATCTCTTTTGCAAACACCTGCTCCCATTGATGATAATAGGGGATTTGCAGTTGACTTCAGTGAATGCAGGGTTGAGTCCTTTAACTTCAGCCATTTAACTTTCTCTTTTACTGTTGCTTGCTGATAAATAAACATAGCCATTTCCACTAACATTTACAATGTCAATTACATTAACATCAGTGTCAGGCACATGCCACTTCCATTGAAGGGATGCTACCAGTTTACTATCAGTTACACTTTACAAAGAAATGAACTGTATGGAACATAAATATTTATATCTAGCTCAACTTCATCAGTCTACTAAAAAGTAGGAGGAAACATATCTAACAAAAGGTAGCAACTGCACTTTAACAATTCAGATCATGACAGAGAAAGTGGCGCTACGTCTTTAAATGTCTGAAGAAACGTATTTCATCTTTAATTCCCCATTTTCCTATTCAGAGCAAGTGCCGCCCAGGACTGGTTTTCGAGTGGATTCCTCTGGCAAGTATTCTTCAGCCTTCATTGTTCTGTAAAATAACTGTCCTCCATTTTATGTTTAAGTAACTGTTCTTCCTTTAATCATTGCTCTGAGTTTTAGCCAATCATGAGTGCTCAATCACCATTCTATATAGTACAGCTTTTTTTTAATTTTGGTATTTAACTAGACAGGGTTAAAGAATGATAAGCACTAAAGCTTTCCCTAATGTGGAGTGTTATTTGGAGCAGAGTGAAGTCTTCCCTTTTCCTCAGCCAGCTTGTGTGTTCGTGTAACAATGTTTTATATGCTCTTTGGTGTTCTTAGTATTCATTCACATAATGCTAGTACCATAAAAATATTCCAATATATCTGATGCTAGAAGATTATTTAGACATTTTTAATCTCTCTATACCTTGCAATGAATCCAAGGTTCACGTGCTACAGAGCAGAAAGGATGGGTTATGCAGACCACAGATTTATTTCATCCATACACATCTTCTGTCTGTCTGTTAAAAAAAATATTTTAAAATAATAACTTTGTGGTTGTTTGAATCACCTTCATTCTTTTGAAATATCAACAGTACATTAATTTAGAAAGAATTCATTCCATTTCCTGAAATCTCATACTGTTAAATAAACAGCTGCACCAAGTGCTGCTGGTCCAGTGAAGGTTGTTTTGTCATTGCCATTAAAGTCCTCTCTCAGGCCTATATCCTGCAAACATTTAGGCACATAAGTACCTTGTCTTGTGTGCCTAAATGTTTGCAAAAATAGAGCTTTATGTTGTTTTTTGTATACCCTCTAAGGCTTATAGGTTGGCTACAAAATTCCCTCTGAATAGAAATGTAGCATAATTCTCCATTAGGATACAGATTTAATTATTAAGCTTTCTTATTTTCTATCATGCAGCCTTCATTTACTTCCTTTGCATATGTATAAATCAAAATTGTGCAAATTAAAAATACTACTAATGTTGGAGATTAGCAGGACCATAATTGTTCTTAAAACTTTTCATACTTTTCAAGAGCATTTGAAACTCTGATATGAAGATTTTGCGTTTTCACATTAACCACAATTAATAATAGTAATTTGCAAATTCCTGATTCTTTATTTCTTCCTTTTTTCTCTCTCTTAGTATTCACCTTGACTGAGAAAGTTCAAACAAATGTTTATTTTTAGCAGGAAAAGTGAATAAGCACAGCAAGACTGCCAAATTTTTCTAATAAAGCTCTGTATTCTTGTTTTAATTAAAATGTAGAAGAGATTTAAGAAGAAATATTTAATTACAGCATCATCCCATGCGCCAAATTAATTCATACAAAATATCACTCTTTGCGTTTGTGAGGCTTGAAATCATTCATAAACTGAATCAATCATTTTCAGTGACATATCTTCTCCTCTAGTTTTATGCCTTAAAGAAACAACTCTGTGTCCATTTATCAATGTGAAATGCATCTCGGAACTTGGATGAATACAGTACAAGAATCAAATTGAGAGAGTTTCCTATTCAAAGCATCTATGAGATCTCACTGTTGTTCATTAACAATACACCAAAAAGTAATTTTCATATTATAAATCACATTTCCGCTTCATCAGGACTCATCAGTTGGAATTCCCCAGTGTTGTGTAGCACCCCTACTGTGTTGTGATGAGATCATTGTTTGTCTCTTGGAGTTCACAGAACAATGGGGAGCCCAGATTGTTTTATAAGTTGGCACTTTGGTTAATGGTGTCTCTTCCTGGCCAAACGCTCTATTAGAAAAATCTCACTTTAAACATAAAAGGAATAAGAGGTATTCCAACAAAGCTTCATGAACTTCAGAGGGATCACAGGAGAAGAGCAGCTACAACTGAACTGCAACTCACCGTTCCATATTGAGAGTGAGCAGTGCACCAGCCAGCTAAGCTGAGCTGGTCTGGAGGGAAAAGTAAGCTGTGCCAGGAAAAGGGTGCTACAGCCCCAATGCAACAAGGAGGAAGTAGAGTCCAAATTGTTATTCTGCCACAATTCAGTCCCTGCTTTACTCCTAGGGCTGCAACACTATCCATTTCCCATTACTTGAAGTGGAATGCAAGGTGCCAATCTAGCCCACTTAGAGAAAAAATATTCGATAATGAAATAATACTTATCATCAGGGTACAGTTCGTCTTAGGTCATGAGTGTTGTTCTGTTCTCAGTAAGGCCATTTTTCCTTTGTGAATTTGAGCCACTGAGAAATTTCACTCTCTCCATCAGGAAAAATGGCAAAATTTGGCATATACAACAATACCTGACAGAGAAAAAGATACTCGAGACCTGAATCTCACAGGACCAGACACCAAGGATATACCAAAATATCTTTTAAAAGGACCTCATGTCCCACCCCCACTTAGTCCTTTGTTTACTTTTAGAAGCTTTGTATTGCTTGATGGGAAAATAAGCTGTCCAGTAGTGTTCTCCTGGATGGAACAAAATCCTACTTTTAAAGCAAATTTGTCAGTGTTTTAGGAACATTATTGGCTCTACACTAATGGCAAAATAGTAGTAGCTAATGTCTAATGTAGATTGCCAAGATACTTGTCTTTTGCCAGGACTGATTAGCACACAAAACCGCTAATTAGTCAAAGAGCTTCCAAAATGACGTGTTAGAGCCCTATGAGAGGCTGTAAGATCCCTGCATAAAATATTTTTGCCCTAAACCTAAAGGTCTGGACCTTACCTAGTTAAATCTATGTGCTCAGAGAGGGGACTTTAGGAAAGAAATATGTCAGCAGTTTTTGTACTGCTGCCCATCATAGTATCTGACTCTCACAATAATCCCTTTTTCACCATAATAAAAAAAAGACAGCATGAAAATACCAAATGTTTGTTTTTAGTGATTTTTTAAAAGAAATGTCAGCAATGTGATTTTCTTTATTTTCTTTTATTTATTTATTGTGTAGTTTAAGTCTGAGTGTTTGTGCCAGAACCATATTAATCACAAGCTGACAGTCATATTCTCAATACCTACAGTCAGGAGCACATAATAAATTGACATCAACACAAAAAGCTAGTGTTCAGGTTGTGACAAACCATTCACACCAGTGCCATTCAAGGTTAAAGCTGAGATTTTAAAACTGAGCCCCTCGTTTCTCACTGCTGCAGTACTGCCTGCAAGACTCCTCCACAATAAACTTAGAAACAAGACAAGGAGAGGCAAGAGTACAGTTTCTAGTTTAAAATTCCTCTGCCTGTGTCCACTTGTGGAACAACCTTCTCGTTAATTTAACAATTTTTGTGCACATGGACACTTGTCAGAGAAATTTAAGTGAGTTGATATGATAAGCTATTTTGAAGCTGTTATGGCTTATCATGTAAATATATAGGTTAAGTAGAGCCACAAGGCTGTAAGGGCTGGATACACAAAAGAAGTTAGATGCCTAAGTCCTAGTTTCAGGATGCATCACTGCAATGCATCAAATGCCACTGAACCTTCTGGGTGCCTAAACTCACTGGGCGCGTAAGCTTTCAGGGTAAAAGTTCCCTAGCTGCCTCTGGGCATGCACACTGCTGCCTCATTCTAGGTGTCCAGACGTCAATCTCTTGCTAAAACTCCAGAGCAGCTGATGAACCTGGAGTAAGCTAGGCGTTCAGCCACTTAAATCACGCCCAGGGCCTGATCCTGCAGGTGCGCTCAGAAGCTGCCTACCAGATCAACTCCCATTCAAAATCAAGCTGGAGGTGCCGACCTTATAACTTTTAGTCCACTGATTAGAGCACTCCCCTGGGATGGGAAACCCAAGTTCAAGTCCCCCTCTTTGCCACAGGGAGAGAAAGGATGTTTCCCACTTCTTGAGAGAGTACTTGAACCACTGAACTATGGTTCACTCGCTCAAGCTCTCCTGTTGAAGCTGTTCTACTGTGGAAATTAAAGACAGGTTGGAGCAGGGGGACTGGCTCCAGTATCTCACACCTCCCAGATGGGTGCCCTAACCCCTGGACTACAGAGTCACTCACACACTCTGTTTCTGGCCCAGTCACTCTTTAATTTTTTATTCACTGTGGCGTAGCATCAATGGGACAGACTGACAGAGCCCCACATCGGAATATCCCATAGTTCAGTGGTTCGACCACTTTTTTGAGAGCTTGGAGATCCCCTGTTAAAGTCCTCCTCACCGTCTGGCATAGACAGGGGAATTAAGCCTGGGTCTCTCACATCCCAAGTAACAACTTGCTAAAAGCTATAAGGAGGGCACCACCATTCCCTCCTCTTCTTGCTAAAATGGCATGGGCACCTAACTCCAGGAGAGGGTTCACAGCAGAGATTCTACAAGCAAAAACAGGCACTTTCCTACAGCATGGATATAGTCACTTACATATGTGAGAGGTGTGGTGCTTAGCACTCAGGCTTTGTGAATTGCAGTGATTTTCTAGGCACCTAAATTTTAGGCATTATGATGCTAAGCTAGGGCGACCAGACAGCAAGTGTGAAAAAAATCAGGACGGGGTGGGGGGTAATAGGAGCCTATAGAAGAAAAAGAACCCAAAATTGGGACTCTCCCTATAAAATCGGGACATATGGTCACTCTATGCTAAGCATCACATCTAACTTTTTTGTGTCCAGCCCTCAGTGTATACATTGTCCTTCAATGCAAGGGCTAGTGACCATTTGCTGTCTGTATGAATGAAGTGGAGGCTTTGGGAAAAGTTTGTGGTGTGTCACAAGATCGCTCAAGCTCATTGCTCCTTTTGAATAGAAAGCAGCACTGCAGAGCTATCACCCACCCCATTACCATCCATTATAGATATTTGTATTAGGGCTGTCAAGTGATTAAAAAAATTAACAATAATAGAATACCATTTATTTAAATATTTTTGGATGTTTTCTACATGTTGTGTTATCTGTCCATTTCAAACCCTTCATTTTAGGGACTTCGAATGCCAACTAGCACCAAAATTCTTTATCAAGTGTATTATCTCAGACTGAAATACTGTAAAGCTACACTATACAAGTTGGCACACTGTTTATACCTGTGTAGATTAAAATGGTCTTTTCATTAATGGTTATTTAGTTCTACTGACTTGTAATTAGAGCTGATCATTTTTCAAGTATCTCCAACTCCCATGTCAAATTAATCTTTTAAAGTTTTGAAGAACTAAACTAAAGTTATAAAGTAAATACCATCACTGATGGTGGAGCAATAAAACATAATACAAAGGCAGTCATAGGAAGAAGGCAGTACATTATGCCATGTATCAAGGGCAGAATTTGCCTCATACTACCCACTTTCTAGTTTGGATTGAGTATACGTACTTTACTGCACACCACCATCTTTAGAGATATCTTCATATTCAAGTATCTGTGTCTGTCTGTGTACAACACATTGTTTTCAATACAGTTTCCACCCGCTCTAACAGGACCATCATTAATCATTTCCAATGAACTAACCAGTGGGATATTCAGTTTCTCAAGGAAAAACAAAAATACATTATTCAATGTGATCTCCTTTTAAACCAGGTCCAGATTACAAGGAGCTAGATGTTCATCTTCGGAGGATGGAGTCTGGATTTGGCTTCAGAATCCTTGGAGGAGATGAACCTGGACAACCTGTAAGTAGTTTCTTCATGGCTTTCTATTTTATAGTTTCAGTATCTTTGTAAGTGTCAGAAAAATATCACTTCGTACAGTGGTCATTAAGGAATGGAATTTTATAACTCCAAGTAAAAAGACTTTTTCCTGTTCATCCATTGAAAAAGACAGGTCTCTCAAATTGTCAGCATCTCCACTTAAAATATGTCATTGTGAATCATTTTGTATTAAGTTAGGAAGAGTGCACTCTCCAATCTTTTTTAGAGAACTGACTGCTATTTGGCCCTTTTAATTATTGACTTACAGAGAACTATTGGCTTCCCTGGAATATCAAGTACTGAGTTTAACCAGTAGATTTGCATCAAATTTTGTATGAGCATGTGTGAATGAATACCATGCTGTACTAAAGTAAGTCAATGTAGATACAAACTGTACACATATGGAATGTGTGGGATTAGAGAGTACTGCTAATTACTTCATTCATCTTTGGGAACACATGCACTACAGATGAAATCTGGACACTGAAGCCAATGGGAGTTTTACCATTGACTTAATTGAGTCATGACTTCACTCATGTTTAAATCATGATTTGAGGACTTCAGTAACTCAGACAGAGGTTATGGGTCTCTTATAGGCATGCATCGGTGAAGTTCTGTGGCCTGTGATATGAAGGCAGGCAGACTGGATGATCACAGTGGTCCTTTCTATAAAATAAATCCACTGTAGATTAAGTGCATTAATTATCTACTAGAAAACATCACAGCATCTCATATAGTGAAAAAACACTGAAGAGAATATTAAAATATGTACCGTGGACACAGAATTGCTGCCTACATGATAAATTGCCATTATCTCATTCCTTTGACCACTTCACTTGCTCCCTGTGCACTAATCCACTTCCACCTCGATTTTTTCTAAACTCAGAATTTCTGAGCAGCTTCAAATAGATGCCTTTTCTAAATAAAAACAATAAAAAATATAAACCACCTAGAGAACAGTTTCCTTTTTTCTACCCCAATATGGAATTTCCCCCAAAATGTTACCTGGTCTAAGGCCCAGGCCATTTCATTCTGCACCAGTGACAGGTTTAAGAACCAATAACTTGTGATGCATCAGGCATGGATATGGGAGATTTATGCCACACATCCCCACCTTTCCAAAGGGGCATCCAGCATGTGCTTCTAGCCTTGCAAGGCCTCAAAACCTTAAATAATGACATAATTATTGGACTCATTGGCTTTACAGGTTGAGGAATCACAGACTGATAGGACTGGAGGTCTACTAGTCCAGTCCCTTGCACTCAATACACAAAACAGAACACACATACAATTTTAAAAATTCTCTAAAACCTTTTAATATCCTTTTTTGTAAAATGTGTGGCATATATTCAATATGTGATTAGGTGGTGGGGCATATGATTTATTTTTAATGGAACTTATTTGGAGTGACCTGCATGACTCAGTCATAACTTTTTGCCACTCAAGACTGATGTAGCCATCCCAAACCTATATAGATAAAACGATATACCATAACCAACTATTTATTCTATGTTGCTTACATACAACAGTGACATCCTTTTTAGAAAAATCCAAATATAGTTTGATAGATTTACATGTCATTTATTCAAATCCATACAAAATAAAATGATAGCCATTAAAATGTTAACACTTGTCCTGTGGTGGTATCTAAGAAACCAAAATTATTTACTATATTTCAAATAAGAAATAAATGTATTATCACATTTACCACTATGGAGCAAGTATTGATAAGAACATAACAATGGCCATACTGGGTCAGACCAATGATCCATCTAGCCCATTATCCTGTTTTCCAATAGTGCCTGCTGCCAGATACTTCAGAGGGAATGAACAGAATAGGGCAGTTAATGAGTGATCCATCCCCTGTCATCCAGTTCCAGCTTCTGGCAGTCAGAGACTTAGGGTATGTCTACACTACGAAATTAGGTCGAATTTATAGAAGCCAGTTTTATAGATATCGGTTTTATACAGTCGATTGTGTGTGTCCCCACATAAAATGCTCTAAGTGCATGAAGTCGGCGGACCGCATCCACAGTACCGAGGCTAGCGTCGACTTCCAGAGTGTTGCACTGTGGGTAGCTATCCCACAGTTCCCGCAGTCTCCGCCGCCCATTGGAATTCTGGGTTGAGATCCCAATGCCTGATGATGCAAAACAGTGTCGCGGGGGGTTCTGGGTACATGTCGTCAGGCCCCTCCCCCTCCGCCAGAGCAACGGCAGACAATCGATTTGCGCCTTTTTACCTGGGTTACCTGTGCAGACAACATACCACAGCAAGCATGGAGTCCGCTCAGCTCAGCTCAGCCCACCGTCACCATATGTCATCTGGGTGCCGGCAGATGTGGTACTGCATTGCTACACAGCAGCAGTTAATTGCCTTTTGGCAGTAGATGGTGTATTACGACTGGTATCCGTCATCGTCGTATTCCAGTTCAGTCAGAGGCACCTGGGCAGACATGCTTTGTTTCCTGGAGACTCAGTCCTGCCAGCAGTCCTATTGAACCGTCTTGACGATGATGGCTAGCAGTCGTAGTTCAGTATCTTCTGCCAAGCACCCAGAAGATGCCGAAGGCTATCAGTCATGCTGCACCGTCTGCTGCCAGCTTAAGATGTAAAAAATAGATGTATTCATTTGCTTCCCCCTCCCTCCATGAAATCAACGGCCTGCTAAACCCAGGGTTTTGAGTTCAATCTTTGGGGGGGGCCATTCTGTGTGACAGTTGTTTGTGTTTCTCCCTGATGCACAGCCACCTTTGTTGATTTTAATACCCTGTACCTGTACGCCATATCATCAGTCGCCCCTCCTTCCCTCCGTCCGTTTCGTGCCTTTTTTCAGACCAGACGCCATAGCACTGGGATCATGGAGCCCGTTCAGATCACCGTGGCAATTATGAGCACTATGAACACCATGCACATTGTCCTGGAGTATATGCAGAGCCAGGACATGCCAAAGCAAAACCAGGACCAGACGAGGAGGCGATTGCAGCGCGGCGACGAGAGTGATGAGGAAATTGACATGGACATAGACCTCTCACAAAGTATGGGCCCCAGCAATGTACAAATCATGGTGTTACTGGGGCAGGTTCATGGCGTGGAACGCCGATTCTGGGCCCGGGGAAACAAACACAGACTGGTGGGACTGCATCGTGTTGCAGGTGTGGAACGATTCCCAGTGGCTGTGAAACTTTTGCATGCGTAAGGGCACTTTCATAGAACTTTGTGACTTGCTTTTCCCTGCCCCGAAGTGCCAGAATACCAGGATGAGAGCAGCCCTCACATTTGAGAAGTGAGTGGCGATAGCCCTGTGGAAGCTTGCAACACCAGACAGCTACTGGTCAGTCGGGAATCAATTTGGAGTGGGCAAATCTACTGTGGGAGCTGCTGTGATCCAAGTTGCCAGGGCAATCAAAGACCTGGTGATATCAAGGGTAGTGACTCTGGGAAACCTGCAGGTCATAGTGGATGGCTTTGCTGCAATGGGATTCCCAAACTATGGTGGGGCGATAGACGGAACCCATATCCCTATCTTGGCACCGGAGCACCAAGCCACAGAGTACATAAACCGCAAGGGGTACTTTTCAATGCTGCTGCAAGCCCTGGTGGATAACAAGGGGCATTTCACCAACATCAACGTGGGATGGCCGGGAAAGGTACATGATGCTCGCGTCTTCAGGCACTCTGGTCTGTTTCG